CTTAAAATATTAAAATCTATTGTAAAATACACCAAAATATAGTAAACTTCCAAAAGAGGAAAAAAACGGCTACAATAATTGCTGATGTTCACAACTTGACCTAATTTCGTGAAACTCTTCTATTTATACAAGTCTGAAAATCTCGGACAAAAATGCTCCTCGAAACAATTATGCAGCTGCACAATTCCATGTGCGGTCCGCAGACTTCTTCATCTGGCAAGAACTGGGATTCTGCGGCCGCACAATTCTGAACTTAGGCTGCAAGGCAGCATTTATGCGGTCCGCAGATTTAGAACTGCGGCCGCAAGTCACTCTTCTGCGGTCCGCAATAGTAGGATTGCGGCTGCAAGATAATTTTCTGCGCCCGCACAAATCTTGTGCGGTCCGCAATTCTCTGAAGATCTGGACTTGGTCTTTTTGCAATAGCTCTGATCTTGACCTTTAGCCCATCTTTTGCGGCCGCACAATTCATATGCGGACCGCAATTTGCACAAATGTATGCTGAGTTTTTCTTCTTTGTTTGCGACCGCAGGTGGAATTCTGCGGTCCGCAGTTTCTTCTACGGCCGCAGAATTCCTTCTGCGGACCACACATTGTGTGCCTCCATGCCCTTTGTTGCCTTATGCTTGAACTACTCCTCTTTGAGTTAGATTTCATTTCGGGAGCCTAGCTTCCAGCATTCCTGCAATTTTGTACAATTTCATTAGTTCCGGGAGCATAATTCAATGCTTTTAGGCTAAAACAAAAGTTAAAAGGCGTTAATAAGCAGTCAAAATCCCCATTTATCAATGACAACTAAACACTATTGATTATGAACTGACCAACAAATAATCAACAAAACTGAACTAAAAAGAACCAAAAAGAAAACAGACAAGCGACGAAGAAATATTGACTACGAATCAAACCAATGTAACCAACTAAAAGATTAATGAGTCAAGAAGTAGCTCAATTGATCTCAGTCACCTACCGATACGTTTAAACTAATCACTACAAGCAATAAAAGGGATGGTCGGAAGCAACGTACAATAGCATGAAAATAATAGCAAACTACAGATTACTACTTAAATTTATACGAACAACATAAACGTGAATGAAAATTAAACTCTAAGCCTAATGCCAAAAAACAAAAAACAAAATCAAAAAATGGAAGGAGGAAGCAGGGTTTTACCATACGAGGCATCCGATGCTAACTCGAGCCACCAAAAGATGACGAAAACCCCAAGCGGCGGTTGTCCGACCCCGAAGCACAAGTTTTCTTTTAGTAGATACCAAAACAAATAAGCTTTGGCATCATACTTGAAGGAAACGTGGGTCTTTAGGTCGAGTAGGCTAAAAGATAGGGGGTCAGTGGTGGTAAGGTAGTGGTGCGGCAGTGGTGGTGGTGGCCGGGGTTTGGCCAAAATTATTCATCGAAAATTGGGTCCAAAATTGTACTATGTGATAGATCAAGGGAAGACCTACACACTCATGTAGATATTAAGTTATGGTGAGGTCTCAAACTTGATGAATTTGAGGAGAAATAGGCGGCTAGGGTTTCTGTTTTTTGAAGATTCATGGAGTTTGGTTGGGATTTTGAGGACTTGAGTTGGAGATATGGAGAGAGGAGGAGAAGAGGCGGAGATGGTGAGATTTTGGCAGGGATTAGAGGTGCTCCGCTGGCGGTGGCGATTTCTGGCCGACGAAGATGGGCGGCGGACGGCAAGTCTGAGAGAGAGGGGAGAGAGTGAGGAGAAAGAGAAGAGAATGGGAGAGATAAGAGAAAATGAGAGCAAATTTCGGCTAACCTAGGCTTTAAATACCTAGGATGGCAAATAATGAGAGTCGTTGGATCAGGGAGAGATGAAGGGTTGGGACTTGATCTTGCTTCATTTATCAAAACGACGTCGTTTTGGACCTCTCTCAGGCCACATGGTCTGGACCGAGTCCTGGGCTCGAATTTGTGGGTTAATTTTGGTCCAATTAGGTTAAATAAAGCATCAACCCAATATTGAATAAGATATATAAGTTAAATATAAATTAAAAATAAAAATTAATAATATCAAAACTAATACATACTACATATTATTCTCCATAATACATCCAATCAAATAATCCCCTAATGCTGCGCATATATTTAAAGGGGTTCTGTACAATCCAAAAGTCGAAAGCATAAAACGGCAGCTAAACCCATTATTTTCGGCTTTTGCAGAGAATCCAAGATGATTAATTACAGTAGTCGTATGCGACAAAAAAAAAAAAGCTTAAAAGAATCTTCAGAATGATGGCCTTACTAAAGGTAAAACTCAAAGGTAATAGAGTTTCGATATACTATCATGAAAAATCTGCTAATTGGGTTAAGCAATGAAAACTTTGTAAGTCTAAACTTTTGAAAACGATGGAGGGAAAAATATTGGACAATTGGACAGAATGGAGTAATTAAATCAAAGACAACCACATATAATAAATGGAAATAATCTGTAATATTTCTTTCTAAGACTAGCTAGCTATCAGATCCACAAATTATTGCTTATTTTTGGGTTTATTATACCATGAGATGGAGAAAAACAAATTGTGTCCCTACAAGAACAGAATAAAGCAACATGAGACCGAGCTTGTGATTATATTTCCGACAGCCTCTGTACTAGACCAGCCTTTCTCCAACATATATAAACACCTTTTTTTTTGTTTTCCGTTCAATATGGTACCCCGTTTTTAGGTTTGACTAATTCAATTTATGTTTAGAAAAATACATTCCTATTAAAAGGCGATTTCCACTTAAAGGTCCAACTCAATATTTCTACAATTAGTTACAACTTCATTATATAACCCCAACTCACACGTCTATGTTCGACGTGTTCAGTTCCTACCCACATATATTCTTTTCATCTAGCTAACCCCTTGCGTATCATGGAGAGTTTAGGCTCTTGTCCCCCTCTTTGCTCCTTTTTGCTTATCAATGGAATAACCTCACTGAGGTGTTTGAAAAATAAATATATACTCACACTTATAAGCATATTTTAAAATCATGCATAAGTTTCATAAATCTCCATTATTTTTAACTTCCCTCACCAGTCAAATTATTGGGACATAAAATGAAACCGACGGAGCATATATGCACGGACGAAGCTATACTCTGTTAAGGTGATCAATTGATCACCATTCGACAAAAAATTATACCGCATATATAGGTAAAACAGTTGATTTTAAAGGTATATAAGTATGTTTTGATTGTCGGGATTTTTTTTTAACTTTTTTCAAGTTTGAACACTTTGCATATATGTTCTTGCGGATCAAGTGGGAAGCAATATTCAGTTGAATTAATTGAAGCAGTGTAACTTGTCTTTGTTCCCTACCATCTCTTCATACGCTATGTGTTCTCAAACGTAACCATCTCAACCACAACAAATTAAATAAGCATCTACAATATGTCTTGCATACGTACATGTTTAGGGACATGAACATAGTTAGTATTTTCTATTTCTTGTTCATGCATAACAAACAGCATAAACTAGCAAGGGAGAATTCTACAACTTTCCAGTGAAGAAAATCTATATATATGAATACAACATACTATAAACGTGATTATAACTTTCAAATGTATCAAGAGCAAAAACTTGAATTACTAGAAGAAAAAATAAAACACAGGGCGCCATCCTTATACTAACCAAAATTTAAGAATACTATATACTCCAAGTACAACTGAATCATCTACAACAACAACCCAGTAGAATCCCACTAATAGGGTCTGGGAGGGTAGTGTATACGCAGACCTTACCCCTACCCCAAAGGAGTAGAGAGACTGTTTCCGAAAGACCCTCAACTCAAGAAAACAAAAAGACAAAACGACAAGAGGAGACAACATTAGTATCACCACAACAATCATAGAAAAAATAGGAACCCCATGAAATGCAGAAGAAAGATGCAAAGCAAAAACGATAGCTAGTAAATAGGACATGCACTGAAAAACGAAGTAGTAAAACACAACATTGTCACTAGCTACCCTAGACAAAAACCCTACGTGGACAGTCCCATAATGGTACGAAGTAAGTCAAGACTCAACTACATCCTAACCTACAACTCTAATACTCGACCTCCACATCTTCCTATCAAGTGTCATGGTGTCGGAAATCTGGAGCCTCGCCATATCCTGTCTGATCACCTCTCCCCAATACTTTTTAGGCCGCCCTCTACCTCTTCTCGTGCCCTCCACAACCAGCCGCTCACACCTCCTTACTGGAGCATTTGGGCTTCTCCTTTGAACATGTCCGAACCATCTAAGCCTCGCTTCCCGCATCTTGTCATCAATGGGAGCCACGTGCACCTTCTCCCGAATAACATCATTCCTAATCTTATCTATCCTAGTGTGCCCGCACATCCACCTCAATATCCACATTTCTGCTACTTTCATCTTCTAGATATGTGAGTTTTTAACGGGCCAACACTCAGCCCCATATAACATGGCTGGTCTAACCACCGCTTTATAGAACTTACCTTTGAGTATTAGTGGCACTCTCTTGTCACACAGGACTCCAGATGCTAACATCCACTTCATCCATCCTACCCAATACGGTGTGTGACATCCTCGTCGATCTCCCCTCCCCCCTGGATAACCGAACCAAGGTACTTGAAGCTGCCTCTACTCGGGATGACCTGTGATTCAAGCCTCATATCCACGCCCACTTCCCCTGGCTCAGCGCTGAATTTACACTCCAGGTATTCCGTCTTCGTCCTGCTCAGCTTGAAACCCTTAGACTCAAGAGCCTGTCTCCAAACCTTTAGCCTCTCGTTAACACCGGCTCGCGACTCATCAATCAGAACTATGTCATCGGCAAATAGCATGCACCATGGCACCTCCCCTTGAATATGGTGTGTTAACGCGTCGATCACGAGGGCGAATAAGAACGGATTGAGCCCCTCCTTTATATAGTTATATCTCAAAAATGAGCCCCTCAGCCTCTCAGCGCAACAACCACCCCCTCCCCTAGATCCAACGAAACAAAACAAGACGATGAGGTTGGTAAGAGAATTTATACATGAAGAAGATACATATAGAAGGAGACAGTATGGTTTATGTTCGAAGAACAAGTTTACACATTAAAGCAGTCAAAGGCCATCAGCTTTTAGTAACGGATTCCTCAACTCAAAATAGTCTGTTACGGAGTATAAACTATCAAAACTAAAATAAAGAGATACAGATGATAATGTGCAAGCCGCAGCACAATGGAACATGTGAAAGATCTAGAGAAGATGACAAATAGGAAACCGCAACCTTATTTGCATGTTGAACACGTACACCAAATCTTCACCAAAATAATTCATCAATGTGATCATATGATAGTAAAGCACAAGCTAGCTGACGAAACCAAAAAAACGCCAGAAAGAACATAGCTCCATATTTTAATAGTCATTTAAGAGATTCACATAGCTAGTAGTTAACTAAGAGAATTTAATACAATTAGATGTTGATGCTCAGACAGTTTAGGAAACGGAAATCCAGCTAAGAATACAACACTAAAAGAAAAAAAGGACAAGAACAAGTGAAAAATCAAATGGAATTTCAAGTGGAAAAATAGAAAAAAATAAGGTTAAATAAAAAGGTCTAGAAACCCAACTTGAGTAGTTCTAAATCTCAACTAAATGATCATCAAATTAGGATAATTAACTATTCTAGATAAAATAAATTAGGGTTTTTTACCAAGAGTGTTCTTGTTATTGCGCATCCAAACCTTGAAAACTTGTCTCCTAATATTTGTCTCTGCACAAAACTGCTGCACTGCTGCCTCATTTTCCTTCTGAATACGCCATCCCAATCCTTCAGCAAAAGCAAACATTTTCTCCTTTTGGTCTTGTGTGAACTTTGTCCTAAACCTTTTTCTCGAACCACTCCCACCACTACTACTAGGGTTAGATACATATTCTTCAATATCCTCTCTTGAAGAAATTGATGGTAATGCCAATGGCCTTTGATGATAACGATATGGGTAGTGGTGGGGTGGGTGGTGAAGGATGGGTGGTGGTGGGGTAGGGTGGTGGAAGTTTAATATTTCTCCTTCAACTTCTTTACGGTGGAAATTTCTGTGACAATTACAAGCAGCACATTTTAGAGCATCTAAAGTACCTTCTTCACCTGAGGGCAGAAATTCTCCGCAACCGTCTACAGCTTGTCCACCTATACCTACGGCATGATTTTTTAAGCACTCTCTATATCTTGGAATAGGAACATTGTTTTTTCTTAAAGTTGCAGCTGCTTGTGAAATTGGACCACCTTCTCCAAGTTCTTGGTAATTATTCTCAGTTGTTGGTATTTGAGGAATATTAGCAATTTCCTCTTCTTGGTCTTCATGTTCTTCATCAAATTCCATCTTGTATTGTTATCACTCTCTCTTTGATGTTTGAACCCACCTACCTACCCATATAATTATTGGATTTAACCCAAAAATGAATCTATAGATAAGGTAAAAGTTTGAACTTTGACTATTTACTTGTGGAGATGGAGTTGTATACATAAAATATAGGTAGTGAGGGTTAGGGAGAGGAAAGAGAAGATTAGTGATTATGGGGAAGATGATCCAAACAAAAGATAAAGAGGAATTTGAGAGTGTGGACACAAATTACAAGCCTGCAAAAAACAAAAAAAGTAGTTTACTTTTTCTTTTATGCTTAGAAAAAAACAGTAAAGTTGTTGTCATGTGAGTGACGAGGAGGTTACAAAAAAAGGAGTTTACTTTTTTTTTTATGCTTAGAAAAAAATAGCAAAATTATTGTCATGTGAGTGACGAGGAGGTTACGAGATTCGAATCATGAAAACAGTCCTCTCGTAAAAATGTAAAATAAGATTGCTTATAATAGACCCTTATAATTTAATTTTTTTCTGGATCTGCACATAACATGAGCTTAATACACCGGATTATCTTTATTATTCTTGATATTATACTGTTTTTTTTCTCTATCTCACTCTCTGTTTCTCAACCCTAAAGTTTACTAAACATGTGGAGGTAACTACTGGAGTAAAGTGGAAATTTTTTACTGGTTTGTGGGCAGTAAATCATGTGCTCCCTCCTGTGAGAGCATTCAGTGTTATTGCTTAATTTGTTGAAAAAATAAGAATATTTTTGGCTTAGAGAGGTAAAAAGTGAAAGAGGGTCTTCTGAGATAACTTTTCAGTAAGCATGAGAATGGAAACAAGTTGGCGTGTTTGCTCTGTATAGTGACGTCTTTTACGCCTGCAAAAAGCCTGTTCGCATGGAAACATTTTCTCTAATTTTCTTTCCCTTTATCTTTGATACTTTTTAGCTGTATGGATACGTTAGAGTTTAGACATTATATAAAAAAAACAATTCTTTTTTCAAATTTTTTTTGAAAACAATGTTTGGTTATCAAAATCTTATAATTTTTCCAATATCACTTGAAAATGCATTTTCAAATTTGATAAATTGGTGAGAACCAGTTTTTCAATTGAAAATGAAAAGGTTGCTAGTGTTTAGTTGCAAAATATATTAAAAAAAGACTTCCAAATATTTTGCAAAAATTATAACCAAACACAACTTCATCTTCAATTCAAATTTTAGTGAAATTCTAAATTTAAAAAAAGAACTTTGGAATTCATGTCCAAACGCCTACTAAGTTACTCCTATAAACATGATCATGTAAACAATATTTACATTTTTATAGTCTCATCTTTAGGAAAAATGTATCTATCTTCATTTTAATCAGATTATAAACTCAAAGTTTTATAAATTATTACTCCCTCCGTCCAAATTTATGTGAGGTTGTTTGACTGAGCATGAAATTTAAGAGGAAAAAAATCGGTAAAACTTATCGTCTAAAACAAGCCGTAGAAAATTCTGTATTGATAAATTATTTTGTTAGAGTAAAATAAAAAGTTTGAAGTTAAATTTTTTTTCTAAATAATTAAACATGTATCACATAAATTAAAACAGATGAGGTATGCTAAAAAATTATTTGCTCCCGATATTTACACTAAATCATTAGATGTGTAACATGTGTTTACGTATAAACTTCTCTCACTTAACCATGGTTAATTAATATTTATTCAATTTTACGTTATTTATCATAGTTTGGCTTGATATAATGTTTAATAAAGAGGTAAATACTTTTGAAACATAGGGCTTTTAGGTGGGGCAAACCTTTTAAGTCTCCTTTGAGAAGTCCAACCCCAAATTTTAATTCTTAAATATTTAGATCACTTTTAGAATTGATGCATAATTAAGCTAATTTCGGTTATAAAATATTTGAAATCAGCCCCAAAATTGTAAAAAAATATGAATTTGTTCAATGTATAATTATTAAAAGTTTGCCAAAAAAAAAAACACTCAACTGCCTCTCCGCTGTTCCTTCTTCTTTCATAAGTGCGGCAATAATTCTTCTCTCTCCGAGCTCGTTCAATGCAATAAAAATTGCTCAAATTCAGTGATTATTGTGCTCGCATTTCTTCCTTGTCCAAATCCCCGCTGCTCCTTCTACTCGTCCCCTTCATCCTACTCGAATCTTTATTCTTGTTTAGATTTTTTTAATTAAAATATTCAATATTTGGAGACTATTTTTTGAGTAAAACTGCTCAGGTATTAATTACAATAGATATATTCGTTCATATTTTTCATCAGGGGTGTAATAAATCTGTTATTGCTTTGCAATTAGGAAGAAATAATTTTCTGGTTCTTCAAGTTTATTATACTAGGTAATTGACTATTCTTTGTTTATTATAAATAGTTTTTTATTATACACGGTTTCGTGTTTTATTAGCCCTAGTCTACATTACAATAAACTGGAATTACTACTAACTTCGTTGCTAACATGTCGCTAAATTGTCCGTAGCTAACAAAATTTCTTAATAATTTGTTGCTAATCCGTCGGTAAATAGGATCGACAACGAATTTTTCTATTGGCTACAGAATTTGTTATGTCCCTAATTTCTATTTTTTTAGTAGTGTTACTATGTTGGGTCCATTCTTAATTTATTATAGATAATCTATTATTTTATTAGATTTTGTCTGGTTGGTATGGAGTACGCTACAGGAGTAGGTGAAGACTCTATTGGGTTAATAGAGAGAGACACCCGCCTGTTACTACTTTCAACGAATTTATTCCTACACGACTACTACAACACAACCCAGCCATGGTCTTGGCGAAATAGAATTTCTTCGTGCGCAAACTTTCTTGGTTGCGTAAAAAGGATCGACGCCATGCTAAGAATATTAGGGAAGCATCTATATCCTTGAAGAGGAGATACAAATGATCAATCTTCAAAAATACGATGGTAAGTCAATGTAACGACCCGGTCGGTCGTTTTGAGTGTTGTAGCCTCGTTCCTCCATTTACTGCTTATTTCATGCTTAATTATTGCTATGTGACTTACCGGGGTAGCTGATTCGGATCCGGAGATGTTTCGGAAGGAATTGAGACATTTAGTCTCAAGGTAGAAAGCTTAAGTTGTAAAGATTGATCGGATGTGGATTTATGTGTAAACGACTCCGAAAGAAAGTTTTAATGGTTCTGATAGCTCCGTTGGGTGATTTCGGACTTAGGAGTGTGTCTGGATAGTGATTTGGAGGTCCGTCGTTGAATTAGGCTTGAAATGGCACTGAAAGTTGGAAAATTAGAAGCTTTGGAAATTTAGAAGTTTAACCGAGAGTTGACTTTGTGGTTACCGGGCTCGAATTGGGGTTCCGGGAGTTGGAGTAGGTCTGTTGTGTTATTTATGACTTGTGTGCAAAATTTGAGGTAAATCGTACTTGTTTTGATAGGTTTCGGTATCGATTCTAGAAGTTGGAATTTCATAGTTTCCGTTAGGCTTGAATTAAGGTGTGATTCGAGTTTTTGACGTTGTTTGATGTGATTTGAGGCCTCGACTAAGTTCGTGTCATGAATATGGACTTGTTGGTATATTTGGTTGAGGACTCGGGGGCCACTGGTGGGATTCGGATGGTTAACGGATCAAATTTTGGATTTGGAAGACTGCTGAAAATTGCTGGTGTTCAGGCCTGGTTTCCTTATACGCGATCGCGTGGGTAGGTCCGCGATCGCGAGTTCTGGTATGCGATCATGTAAGCTGGGGAATCAGTGCATCGCGAACGCGTGGGTTAAGCCACGTTCGTGAAGAGGAAAGGAGGCAAGAGCTGGTCACGCGTGTTGTCCTATGCGAACGCGTGGGTCTATTCGCGATCGCGTAGGCGCGGAAAGCCTATGCTTCGCGTTCGCGTGAGTCTGTAGGCGATTGCGCAGAGGAAGTTCTGGGGGGAGTAGAGTTTGTGCTTCGTGATCGCGAAGAAGGGACATCTAGGCAGAACTTAAATATTTTAAAAATGAGGGTTTGAGTCATTTTGCATAATTTGATTTTGGGAGCTCGGTTGGAGGCGATTCTTGAATAGATTTTCAAGGGAGTGATTGGGATAAGTAATTCTCACTTAGTTTTAATTAAATTTCATGATTATATCTGGTAAGTGATTCTCACTTAGTTTTGGTTAAATTTCATGATTATATCTTTGATTTCATTATTTAATTAGTGATTTGGATTGAAAAATTAGAGGGAAATGGAGGAAACTTCTTAGGCCGAATTTTGGAAATCTGAGCGAGATTTTGGAATTGAATTTGAGTAATTTTTATATGGTTCGACTCGTGGTCGAATGGGTGTTCGAATTTTGTAATATTTATCGGATTCCAAGACGTAGGCCCGGGGGTTGACTTTTGAGTTGACTTTTTGACTTTTATTTAAGAACTTAGAATTTTTATATGGAATTGATTCATTTAGCTCGTGTTGATTGTATCAAAAATTTTATGGCTAGATTCGGGGCATTTGTAGGCAAGGGCTTGTTGGGGTAGGGTTTTACACTACTTGAGGTAAGTAACATTTCTAAACTTGGTTATGAGGGAATGAAACCCCCAATTTTGTGTAATGTGATTGGTGTTGTGGTGACGCGCATGCTAGGTGACGGGCGTGTGGGCGTGTACCGTAGAAATTGTGATTTAGTGGATTCCATAGAACTATGTAGCTATCTTATCTGAACATTATTATTGTACTCTAAGTGTTAGAGCACTTGAACTGTGATTCATACTAGAAAATATGTTTAGGCTATATGCTGGTACTATTGGGACCCACAATGGTCGATCTTTGATGTTAACTTATTCGTTTAATTGTTGTTATATACTCAATCGCATTTATCATTGCATATCATATCTCAGACTCTGTTAATATTGTCACATCTTATATCATTGATTTGGGCTGCTTAGCATGAGTGTTGTGAGCCCGAGGGACTGGAGAGATTAATAACTGAGTGAGGCCGAGGGCCTGTTTGTGAGTGACATTTATGGTATCGGGCTGCACGCCGCTGTAGACTTTATTGATTCATGCCAGGATTTGGCTTATTATTGCACTTGGGCTGGATCTGCCCCTCCGGAGTCTGCACACCCACAGTGAGCGCAGTTGCTATTGATTTATTTGTATTTAGGCTGGATTTTCCTTGGACCTATTTGCATGTGGGACGGATCTGCCCTGTACAGTGATGAGTGAGTGAGTGTGATGAGTGAGAATTGAGACAGTC